CGGTTAAGCGTCCGACTTCAGCCAGGTCACGATCTCGCGGTCCATGAGTTCGAGCCCCGCGTCGGGCTCTGGGCTGATGGCTCAGAGCCTGGAGCCTGTTTCCGATTCTGTGTCTCCCTCTCTCTCTGCCCCTCCCCCGTTCATGCTCTGTCTCTCTCTGTCCCAAAAATAAATAAACATTGAAAAAAAAATTAAAAAAAAAAAAAGACTCTTCTTTAAGCAGATAGGTTGACAGTTCTACAACCAGATAGTTTGTATCAGGCCCTTTTTGATTAAATAGATATAAGAAATTTGTCGAAACTGCAGTGCATTGATCTATTTTTAGTTTTGGTCTTTATAATCTTAAATTAAAAACTAAATGGTGTATATAAAGGTTAAGGACATTAAGATTCTTCCATCCAAAGGGATCCAAAGGTCTGTAAAACCCTCTACCAGCACGTGTGTGTTTGTGTGTGTGTGTGTGTATGTGTGTTTGTGCATGTGTGTATGTACTACTGTGTAAGACTTGGGAAACAGGAATAAGAAAGTGTGTCTGGCCCTACAGGGTTCTGTCTCCTGGGGAACACAAATGTGTAAATTTGCAAGTACAAAATAATGTGCCAAATGTTACCATGGGCATACAAGATGAGGTATCTGAGCTCAATCTAGGCAGTTCAGAGGATTAGGGAGAACAGTCCAGAGATACAGGATGTTTTTGTTTAGTTTTTCTTTTTGCCTAATGCTATTAAAACTTAAAAGGATAGAAATTGAGGAAAAACAAGCACTACTCTTTTACAAAGTGGATTATGAATTGACTCCATTTAATACAATGAACTGTTTATTGAGAATGTGGATTTGGTATTTAAAAAGAACCTGGCTCTTAAGGAGTTTATAAATCAAAGGTTGGATATGAGAACAACTACACCAGATTTTCAGTATAAAGCAGAATTAAATGCATTCTGCCACAGAAATGCAAACGGCAGGCCATGGGGAAAAGATAGGAAGATTTTTAAGACTTCAGTAAAGGGGATTTTGCATTAAGCTGAGTTGGAGGTCAGTTGATGGAGGTCAGTTGGAGGCAAGATTCTGAAGGATTTGTGTTGAAAAGGATCGTGCTGCCTGCTCTGCATAGCCGGTGTGGTCCTCGTCCGACATGCCTGAAACATGGAGTGCCTTCTGAGATGTGATGCAAAAGAGAGACTAAAGAGAGCATATGGCTACATGGAGCCCCATGCTTAGAGTTTGGGGTAAATCCCTAGACCATGGAGAGCCATTAAAAGTATTTGATGAGGGGTGTGATATAATTCAATATGAATTTTAGGGAGATAATTTCTGACACACAGAAAATGGAGAGTAACTGCCGAGTTTTGTAACTAGTGAAAGAGTTTAAGATTCCAAATTAAGCTTATTGTTCTGAAGACTGAGAAGAAAGAGTTGCTCTATTGGAGGTAGTGGGTAGGTATTCTGTCAAGGGAATGATGGAACCATAATGGATTATTAAATCTATTACATTTTAGGGTGCATGTCGTGGGTGCTTTGATTTTCCGGCATGTATGGCTTATGAAGGATCCAGTACGGTGTGATATGTTCTCACATTGTTACCATACACAGTGCTGACATAATGATATAGAGAAAACTCATGATTGTACCTCCTTCTCTACTGATTCTTTTGCCTTACCATGAGGTAGACCCAGCGAAGGGGTGTGTGCTCCTCACTGTGTTTATTTGGAAAAAAAAATATTAATGTAAACATCTACTTTGGAGTCAACAAATATTTTTAAAGGGATTTAGGAATCCATGCACTAAAGGTGAGCTTTGTGTGGTGATTAATGAATCAAGGTGTTGTTGTTATTGTTTAGATGAATCACAAGATCATGTTTACAAGGGTATTTGCAAATGAAATAGACATAACATTGTGAAGTTCTACTCTGCTCAAAATATGAGGACAAATATTTGTTTTTGAGCATGGTTTTCATTTATTGTTAATTCCATTGCCATATGGTGGGACCATGGAATGCTTATCTATTTCTTTTTCTGCACAGAGGTTTTTGCTATGGAGAATAGTGCTTCTTTAGTCTGTAATAGTCATTCACAAAGATCACGTGTACCTGTGTGTGTGTGTGTGTGTGTGTGCGTGCACGCACATGCGCATGTGCGTTGCACACACATGTTTTTTACCTAAGCGTGCCATTAAGTCATTCTGCACTTACAAGTTTTTCTTTGCTGAGGCTTTGTGTGGTTTCTTTGTTTTTGTTTGTTTTTTGTCTTCGTAGTAGAGGAGAATAGTAGTTTTTCCCTAATAGCGTGGGTTTCAGTCCACCTCTTAAGATTAGCATTAGCGCACAGTGTTTCACAGAGTAAATGTCTGAATGCATCTGATAATCGGGTAGCCGTCTTAACATTTCAAAGTTGGTCATCCACTTGTAACTACAGATGCTTACACGAACCTTGCAAGGACACTCGAAGCAATTTTCTGCTTGTGAATTCTGGCAGTGATTACAAGCCTAGTGATGCTCCAGAGAGAGGGGTGTGTGTGTGTGTGTGTGTGTGTGATGGTGGTAATAATTGTGGGTGGGGCGGGGGTGTAGACATCTGATCCTCTAATGAGTAGAGAAACCAGCGATATGAATCATTTTTTCCTTTAAGTTCTTAACGCTGTCGGTTGACCATCAGCTCAGGATTTAATGTGTGGTATGTATTGAAAAGGAATGTGCCTTCTCTCCCTTACCTGGATACCACAGGAGCATCGTACCCCCATGCCATGGAAACAGCAACTAGTTGACAGGAATCAGTTAAATGAATCGTAAGGGCTGGTTCTTCTATATATGGTAGTCCCTAATGAGACCTAGAGACATGGCAAGCCTTTGATTAAAGACACGACCTGTCTATCCCCTTGAGGGTCTCTGTGGTCACTGGATCATTCTCTGTTGTTTCACACCAAGGTCAGTGGGAGCGTATAGACTCTTCTAAATCTTGGAAGCAGGGATGCAGTGAGGAGGGGATAAAAAAGTAGCCGGGAGAAGTGCGTGGAGCTGTGGGGGTCCTTGAAGTGTCAGCAGCTTAAAACAACCTGTTTTCATCCATCATCAGCGCTTGTCTCGGGACTCCAGTTTTTTGGTCTGTGTTACTGAGTGTGGTGGAGCGTTTTGCTGTTCCAGAATGCCAAGGAAGGAGCCTTCTGCCAAGTATAGAGTGCGTTGACGGAAACCACGAGAAGCGCTCAACTTCTTTAAGACTTGGGGGTGATCAGGGTGGGGGTTGCATGCACCCCTCTTTCTCCGACTTGTCCTTTGGCTGCAGCTTTTGATGTGTCCACCGCACAGGACAGCGGCTCCTCTCTGGATGCAAGGTCTTATTGCCTAAAGTGGAGGTTGAGCCTTCCAGCAGCCCCTCTCCAAACCCCCCCCTCCCGATTTCATGATCCTGGTCGCAGTATCACCATGTGACCTCAGGCGAGCCACTAGGCCTTTCTTGATCTCAGTGTCCTTATCTGTTACCAGGGAGAGTGAATCCATTCAATGTGAGCGAGAAATGAGTTCCCATGTAGAGAACATTAAGAAGAGTGCTCGACCCCTAGGAAGCACTCTGTAATTCAAACTACTGTGATTCCCAGCTTTCCTGAGAGAGAGAGAGAGAGAGAGAGAGAGAGAGAGAGAGAGAGATAGAATAGTAGCCCTGAGGATGACTTCAGAAAATTAAGCAATCCCCCGTATTTCAAGAATGCAGCCTTTCCATATGGTGGGTACACATGCGGTATAGTGATAATTGTGCGCCAGATAATTCCGCACTGAGCAGGGCTAAATTGTAACTTGCGCCAGTAATTAATTTTTTTGTATGAGTGAGTCCCGATATAAATTACAGAAACTAAAAGGTGAATCAGCTATTTACGTGTTCTGAAGCAGAGTATAAACACAGCTGTCACAATGTGGTAGATAGAAGAATTGCTTACAGAGACAGTGGTGCAAAAAAGCGATACCTTCGGCACCTACCGTGGCAGGAAGGAAACATACCATGGGCACACTTCCCTAAGTAGTTTCCCGCATCTTACATTTTTGAAAGGGTGCAAACACAGTTCTGGGTGGCAGTGAGAAGCCTCATTATTTGGTAAATTGGCTGTTTGCATTCATATTAATCGAAGTCCAGATGATAGCGGTTCTAGGGGATGAAAGATTGTGGAGATGACAGATTGGGTCCTGTGTGTTGCGGGTTATGAAGTTCAGGAAAATGTGTAATTATGTCTGAGTTTCCTAAGGTTCTTCTGTTCAACATAATGTTCTGACATACAGTGGGGATGGTTCCGGATATGAAATGCAAATTAGTAGGTGCTGGCCGTGCTGCTGATGCCGGGGTTAATCATGCAAATCTAATGCAGTTCTTGGTATTTCAAGAAAGGTTTGAGATGAAGTCTCAGGCACATACTGATTTAACATTCCTACTTCAGAGAGCAGTGTAATTTTTTTTTTTTTCGGCTTCACATTTTGAAATATAGAACAGGATTTGGAGGCGGATTTAGTGGCTGGACATCCATCCATACTTGTTAATCATAAAAGGGGGTGGGAGGGAAGGGAACCCTTAAAGAATGTGGGGATTTCTAAGCAGATTACATATTTTATTAGATCGAAATTTACAAGTGTTCTGTAGCAAGTCCCTTTGCTTGGAATAAGATCAAATCAACCGATTACACAGGTTTACTGAATGCTCTGTTCAAAGAAGATGGTCAAAACTGGCAAGGACAGATCAAATAAAAATTAACACCACCACAAGTTCCTAACTTTGGGAATTCTAGGAAAAAAAATACCTTTGGAAATGAGACTGTTTACAGGAAGAAATGAAATTGTCTTGCTCACAAGTGCAAGCTGACGCATTCTAATAGCCTTTCTGCTGTGCACAATAAGCATCAGCTTATCTTTCCAAGAACAATAAAATTTCATGTACTGCTGCCTGACATAATTATTTTTACCTATCTCCATATCGCTGACGCTCTTGTAAGTTAATCTCATCTCACATGAATTTTTCACCAGCTTCACTCTGATGTTGATAAAGGAGATGGTTCCATCAAATACATCTTGTCAGGCGAAGGGGCAAGTTCCATTTTCATTATTGATGAGAACACGGGGGATATCCATGCTACCAAGAGGCTGGACCGAGAGGAGCAGGCCTACTATACGCTGCGAGCCCAGGCGCTGGACAGGCTCACCAACAAGCCCGTGGAGCCCGAGTCCGAGTTTGTCATCAAGATTCAGGACATCAATGACAACGAGCCCAAGTTCTTGGATGGCCCATACACTGCAGGAGTTCCTGAAATGTCGCCTGTGGGTAAGTCAAGGCATGCTGGTCTTCAGTGTTTGGTCTTAGGGAGTTTGTATTAAAATCATACCATTGGGCAGCTCAGTCGGGTAAGCGTCTGACTTCGACTCAGGTCACGATCTCACAGGTCATGAGTTCGAGCCCCATGTTGGGCTCTTTGATGACCGCTCTGAGCCTGGAGTGTGCTTCGGATTCTGTGTCTCCCTCTCTCTCTGCCCCTCCCCTGCTCATGCTCTGTGTCTCTATCAAACATAGATAAGCATGAAAAAAATGAAAGAAAAATCAAATCATTGTAGGTACTGAAAAAAAAAATCACATTAGTATTGGTATAGCAGTTTCCAGGGAGGGTGAGGGGGAAGACTGAGATGTGTTAATAGCCAGTGCCTACATCTAATTATTCAAGTCATTATTTTATTTGGAAAATTAGGCAAGTTTTTCCTTTCACACGGAGATCTCAAAATCTTCAGTAAATTATTCAAGACTTGCCTTTTCCTTTGAAATGTAATATTTAACTTTAAAAAAGATTAAAATTACACCTAAGAAGTTAAAAAAGAATATGCTTCCAGACTTTGCCCTGCGATAATCTCTTCTTTCTCCTGATTAATATTAATGATTCACTCTTCTGAGAATGCTTCTGTGGCCGAGGTATCAGGCAGGCCATCTAACGTTTAGGTCAGCTGGTCTACTTGCTTGTAGAGTGTGCTTGAACTCAAAAATGCCCCTCCGTATGCCACCACTATTTTTTTTTGTAATTTCTCCAGAAACTTAAATGTATGAAAATTTATGCTGAATAGATAATAATGGTAAAGCGATACTCTGTTTGAGATATATAAGAGAGTCATGAAGTCTATTCTATTCGAAGGCCTTTTCACATTGCCCCATTACTGGAAAAATAGAAAGTAAAGTACTATTGGTATGTACTTTACTTACATCAGATAATATAATTTCAGTTTTAAACTATTTATTCAGATACCTTTGGAATATTTTTTAGCCGGTATGAAATTTTAGATGATCTCATAAAACAATAAAAAAAAAAAAAAAAGATGGGAGCTTAAATACACCAGTTGAGTTAGATATTTATTTCCTGTCATTTTCAGTTTTGAAATAAGACATGCATTTAAAGTAGTAATTGGCCTTGTATTTTAACATGTAAAAATTTTACCCATTGTGATTTGTTTCATTAAATAAAGGCCACTTTATTCATTCCAGCGTTCAGTCAACATGTCTACCATGGTAGTGGAAAAGATGTGTATTATGTGTGCCCTTGAGGAGAATCACAATTTAGTGCCCCTAAATTTCTGTGTCTAGCAGATGGAAAGGGAAAATTATTTGGGGCACCATTGCTCTAGCTGCTAAAGAAATAGAAACTGAAAATGAGCCAGAGGAATACCATGTTCATGGTCAGGAAATATTCTGAACTACGATGGCAGGATCTCACCATAGTCAGCTTGCATGGAGGAACTTCTTTAACCAAACAGGCATATTCATACTTTCTCAGTAGTGCCCACGTCTTCGGAGTGCTTCTTGCTGTTGCTTAACCGCACAGACAACTAGGACAACAGCAGCCACAACAAGATTTTGGAGGTTTTAGAGAAAAGAGAAGGCACATTGTCCTCTCCAAAGCACTAATGTTTGGAAAAACAGGAAGCTTTGAGGCGTGTGTAAGCAGTTCGGTTCAACTCTGTAATTTTCACGTTGACATGTTGGGCTTTCTTTGTTGGCTTGCTAAGGTTTTCCTTTGCTACATAGAATGTAGCCACGCAAACTGGATTAATGTGAACTTTTTTCTTTTAGAGGCTAAATAATGCACTGTAGTTTTGATTTCAGTGGTACCACTCTGATATCAAACAGCATGATTATCATGCGCACATGCAAGTTATTTTAGCTATTTGACTCCAACAGGTTCAGGACCTTTTAGGAAATGATTTTTAGGTGTCTTCTGGATTTAATTGACATTAATTGGGACCACTAAAATAATATCGGAATTTAAACTAAGAACAGTAGATATCTACATTAAATATGTTATGTGGATCCAGAGTGAGTTGTAGTTTATCAAAGTGTTTAATTCTAACCAAATACTTATAAAAACCATTAAGTAATATGGCATATACAACACAAGCATTCATTGTTTAATATTCATGGGTGTGGTTTTCGATGGATGCTAATTTTAGATTGAAAACCTGCTAATAAATCCTTAGGATAGTTCATCTTCTCCAGAAGAGCATAGATAAGCATGGACAATTAAAATTATTTAAAAGTATGTGTACATGTGTGTTGGGTGTACATACATATGAGTTTATATATAAAGTAAGTTTCTTAGTGAACATTTTAGAGAAAAAAAGTCATATACAACCAAATTTACCAAAATGGTTTTATTTTGTTTAGGCTCTTTCCCTTTCAAAAGAATTAGAAAATCAATACTTAAGCATATTACCAGAGTAAATATTGCTGTAAAGATGGTACAGTGTAGAGAAAATAGAGAATATCAAGGTCATTGGTTCTAACATTTTAAAATGATCTCAATTTAATTCTTAATATTTTTAAATATACATCATTCACTATTTGGTCCTGCCAGGCATCCACACGGCATAATCAACTAAGTCTGTCAAATTAAAAAAAAAAAATCAGAATTTAAACAACAGTGCCATATACATAGCTTCTTAATATGCACCTTTTTTTTTTTTTTAAAGGAAACGGGATTGTTCATGAAAATCATAGTGTTGAAAAGACAATAGATTTGTAACAAAATGGACACCAATGACTTTTTTAAAGGGCTTAGAGAGGGAAATCTATTTAGAAATATATCAAGATGAAATTTTAGATTAAAAAATATTTTCAAAACATTTGAAACAAACTGAGAAGAATACATAAAGAGATTTGCCCCATTGTCATCAATAGGACAGAAATGATAAAACAGCATGTGCTTAAATATATAAACTAAGTAGATGTGAGTGACGTTTTTAAGATTATACTCCAAATGGAAATAAAAAGAACAGATCGCAGTAAGTGCTTTCCATGTGGAGTAAGTGAATATATAGTAAAATGAGGAAGCCGCAAAGCATTCTATCACACACACACCCCTGCTGATGCAATTTTTAAAGTTGCTGTGCTACGAATTTTCTTCTTGGGGCGTGTGGTTTGCATTTGATTTAATGCTTTTGTTTTTAAATCAATTCATGGAAACAATGAAAACTAAAGCTGAAGAGATGCCACCTAATATCCAGTTAAGTGCATCCATCAGAAATTGTTTATTCAGTGAGTGAAGTTTCCTTTTCTGCCTGGCTCTCCTCGGCTCTAACAGTGAGACCGCCTCAGCGACTTGGGTGTCAAGATGCTGTTACTTGTCACACTGCCTTCTGGATGGTAACTGAGACTTGGAGAGATTGCTTTTGATAAAAACTTGTTACCTGCCCCTGATGGATGAGAGGCCGAAAATTTGAGTCCCATCCAGTTCTGAGTATACTCGTAATGCGCATCATCAATCTTAATTTTTTGCTAACATATTTTTGTACCCCTTAGATATTTCTGAGGGCTTCATTAGCATTTATCATCGTTTTGGGTGTGTCATCTACAAACCACATGTCCATTTTTCATTTGCCTTGAAGTAAGAAAAAAAAAAAGAATTCAAAACAAATCTAATGGAGAATCTTCAGCAGTGTGTGGGTTCTTCTGTGTTGTGGCATTTGGAAATTTTTAATTCATTGGTTTTTTGGATTGGCATGTAGGGACCTCAGTGGTACAAGTGACAGCAACGGATGCTGATGATCCTACATATGGCAACAGTGCCCGAGTGGTCTACAGCATTCTGCAAGGACAGCCATACTTCTCAGTGGAACCAAAGACAGGTAAAAAGTGAAATGTGCCTCTTCGTGTAACGTCATCATTTATCTGTTGGCATAGAATTAACATTAGTGATTTTTTAAAAAAACCCTGTTATTTATTTTTTATCTTGATTTATTTTTGAGGGGGGGGGGACAGAGAGAGAGGGAGACACAGAATCCGAAGCAGGCTCCAGGGTCCAAACTGTCAGCACAGGGTCGGATGTGGGGCTCAAACTCACAAACTGTGAGATCATGACCCGAGCCGAAGTTGGATGCTTAACCAACAGAGCCACCTGGATGCCCCATTAGTTGTTTTTATGCGATATACTTGGTACTGATAATGGACGCTACGTTATTACTGGGCTTTTCTCAGTGGGTGTCCTGTGGGAAGAAACAGCCGATGATTTATAGTGGCATTAACATCTTTTAAGAATATTTTATTACATTTATCAGAATTTCTAGCAGAATTAAACAGAGTATTATATATTTAAAAAGTATTGCAGCTGCTGTCTCCTGACAAGAGAAGAAAATCTTGATTATTTATGTCACGTGTTATTTTTGTCTTGCCTCCTCTAACTCATTCACAAAGGAATCGCAGGCAGTTAAATTTAAATCTCAAGCAAAAATCTCCCTGCCAGGTAGTGGAGTAGGTAGTCGGTTCTGTTCATCTGTCTGGAGTCTGGTTTACTCAGGGAATTTAGTTTTTATTGTTGTCAAATATGTTTTTATTTTTGTCAATATATGAAATTTATTGTCAAATTGGTTTCCATACCACACCCAGTGCTCGTCCCAACAGGCGCCCTCCTCAATACCCATCACCCGCCCTCCCCTCCTCCCGCCCCCCCATCAGCCTTCAGTTTGTTCTCAGTTTGTAAGAGTCTCTTATGCTTTGACTCTCTTCCACTCTAACCTCTTTTTTTTTTCCTTCCCCTCCCCCATGGGTTCCTGTTAAGTTTTTCAGGATCCACATAAGAGTGAAAACATATGGTATCTGTCTTTCTCTGTATGGCTTATCAGGGAAATTAGTTTAAATGTAGCAATTCGGATGATGAGCTGCCCAATCAAAAATTACGTTGATTCTTTTTTTTTTTTTTTTTCAACGTTTATTTATTTTTGGGACAGAGAGAGACAGAGCATGAACGGGGGAGGAGCAGAGAGAGAGGGAGACACAGAATCGGAAACAGGCTCCAGGCTCCGAGCCATCAGCCCAGAGCCTGACGCGGGGCTCGAACTCACGGACCGCGAGATCGTGACCTGGCTGAAGTCGGACGCTCAACCGACTGCGCCACCCAGGCGCCCCTTTTTAATTTTAAAAGAGAAACATATTTTTATGAGTTGCGAGCCTGACTGTGGAATATGTGGTTGGTTGGCTAGGTGTTCTGTTTTGCTCTGGAGCTGGAATAATTTACATTAAGTAAGACCATAATTTGGAGCGCTGTTATCTTGGATAGAAAATAATGGTTTCTCTGTTCTGCTTTTCTGGCTCTGCGTGTTGGGGGTGGGGGGTGTGGAGATGGGTGGTTTGAGCCGATGATTTTCCTCACCACCATGAAATCCAGAATTTGTCCATGTTGTAACTGTTTTGTCTTCATCATGAAGAAAATTATTTTTCAAACAGCCAAGCTTATGATTAGGAATATCGGAGAGTACCTGTGACCTTCGATGCTGATTTGAATGCTACTCATACTGTGGTCCATATTTGTAAATGGTAATATTGATTCATTTTCAAATCAATGGATTTTGATTGATTTGAAAGGAGGATTGATTTGGAGGATCCATAGGGTAAGTGTCTTCTGAGAACGACAGGGGTAAGGTGCAGGAACAGAAAAATAAAATTCGATCCTAGCTCACCATTAGGATTTTTACAGAGACCGTGTTGCGTCTTTCATACCAATATGGTGGTAGAGTGTTGAAGCCACCTGGACAGTCTAACAGAGAAGAAACAGTTCCGATTAAGCAAGTATTGATGGAGAAGTAAACAAAAGTATTTGATTGGTGATATGAATCCTGTGACTATGGAATATGTGCTTAGATTTAACGATAGATCTGAGAAGCCTAAATTCACACACCCACCCATTCCCTTATATATCTACTCTTTACAGCCTACAAAGACATTGACAAGTTTCTGACAATTTGCTCACAAATTATACACTTCTGCATTATATAACCTGTCCAAAAATAGCAGGCACTAATCCCTAGGGTTCAGTATTTTGCGGGAACTCTTGATTGGCCGGTGATTTTAGGTTTTTGGTAAGATAATAGTTTTTTTTTCTGAAGTCCAGTGGAGGTAAGGCCTCTGATTAAGTGGACAATAGTCTGTGTTGTGGGATCACATGATTAGTACTTCGAATTAATTTTAATTTCAGAATCTCAAGGATCGTGTAGAGTAGGAGATGAATTTAGTTTAATTTTGTTTAGACTTTTTCATACTGTAATTATGGTAATCATTGGGACTTCTCTTTCTAGAGTCATTAGTGCAGAGAGATTCTGGGAATTTTTATCCTCTGCTAATTTCTCGTATGGATAGTGTATTATTTGCACAAATGTATTTTTTTTGACAGAAATGGAAAGTTTTTCAATCCTTAAGGGCATGGAGATCTGTAAATGAAGTTTGACTTAGTCTTCATATTCGGTGTCAGTCTGATTTGTATCTAGGTGAGAAATAATGTGATTCTTCTAAACCTTTAAATGGAAGAGTTTTTGAGAAGAAAGTAAAATGTTTGATAGGAAAAACACTGAAAAAATGCTAACTCCAGTATTTGTGAAAATAAGGCACAGAGCATCACTATTAGGTACATTTCTGTAAGTTTAACTTTGATTTTCTCTTTTCTAATATTGACAATACCCACTACTGTTTATTAACCACACATCATGAACCTAGCATGGCTAAAACCTCCAGTCACATATTTCACCTGTCGCACTACTCACAACCCATGTGACCAGAGGGTAACTGTATTTTCTACCTTCATTTCTCCATCCATAAAACAAGAACGCAAGTAGCTGCAAAAGCCAACGTTAACAATTTGCTCTAACAAGCTAAAGGAATGGCGCTAAGAGGAGGATAAGGCAGCATTAAAAGGACTGTAGAGATGCCCGTCCCCTGTCTCCATGATGGTGACAAACTTCTAAGAAGCTTGTGGTCATTCTAAGGTGTTCATCTACTCTGTAAACTGCAAGCAAATAGATCCCGTGTTTCTGCCTATTTGATATGGGGCAGGACTGGCTACATAATTTGCAGTTCAAAATGGAAAAGCAGGTGCCGTCTTCTAAAATTAATAGGATTTCAAGATGTTATCAGCAGAGCAAGAAACCAAGCATGGGACCTGTGTGCCTGCAAAGGGCACGTGGCCAACGAGGCTGGCCCTGGAAAGTGGATTGAATGGGCAACTCCACTTGTCATTTAGGAGTTTCTTCTTAAACATGAGAGGTGTAACTGCGTGATACGCACGTCATATGTGACATGCCTACTGGTTAAGTCGTAATTTTACACAAGTAATTTAGTCATAATGAAGCCTGCCTCCCAAGTATGGCCTTCGACTGCGTTCCATTCTGTGGTGTGGCTCAAGGTGTGGAGGGCCCTCCCTCCCATCAGGGCTTGCTGAGGACATCCTCTCACAGGTTGGAAGAGTCCATTCCTCAGCGACTCTTCATTTGAAGTTGACTGCTTCAGAAGCTTCCATGTTTACTATCATTGGCTCTTCTCTGGCTTTTTTGGTTCTGTTTCACATGCTTCGCTTATCGATAGACCAACCTAATATAAACAAGGCCTAGAGGCACAATTTAGGAAAGAGTGTAAACTAATAGGAAGAGATTCAGCAGGTACATCTAATGCGTCCCAGATCCGCACAGCATGAAGCCCCACAGCCCCGTGTCACCTGGGTCACGTGGTTGCCGAATCAACTGAGACCAGCCCAAGGCCTGAGTGTGCAGACGCCTGGCTTCAATGATTGTTTGGTTCTCTAAACTGGGGTCGATTTCAGAACCGGCTCTTATCTGTTACATTTAAGACCTATATAAATTCTTTAGAAGATTTCATGGTAAAAGAATATGCTTTAAAAAAACCAAAAATCATCAGTGGCTGGTAGGCAGAGAATCATCTGAAAATTTATTCCCAGACTCAAAAGCCAGAGAGATGTTCAGCAGTAATGAGGATAAATTTATGTTTCCTATGCCCAGTACTTTTTGTGACCATGGATTATAAACAAATGAAAAGTTCTGGGTGATTGGGTCAGACGATACATCTATAGAAAACTGATTATTTCAGGAAGCTTAACATCTGAGCTCATCTCTCTTTTGAAGAGCTACAGGATATATTCTCATCATAAGGGGCTTAAAATGACTGATTATTGAAATTAAATAATATTGTTGTCTTCCATGAAAATCTCACGGAGCTACAGGGATCTGGTTAGAAAAGACTAGCCTTTACGACTTCAGAGTCACAGAGTGAACAATTTGCCGTATGTGTGTGTCCCTAATATATAGCAAAGTGCAAATCAACTCCAATGTATGAGAATTCTTTTCCAAATGTAGACAATTTTACTTAAAAGTAAAAAGCCAGCAAAAGTCATCGAACTGGAAATATATTTTGAATGTCCTGATGTAAATTCATTTCTCTCCCAATTATTCCAGTCTTGTCAAAAATATGCTTAATATTTGAGGTATTTGGAAATTACCTTTACTACCTGGATTACTCTGCAAACGTTGTGATGATTTTTGCTTTAGAAAAGTGCTATTTATAGGATTACATGTAAAGAAACAATTAGAGGTGTGAAAAATCAGTGAGTAACTTTGAATACCAGACTTTCTTAAGAGTGCTATATTTCCTTACAAACATAATGCCACCAAGCAAAACCATGAAAGGATACAGTGTTCTCCTTGTTGAGTGGTTGAGATATTAAGGGCTCTCTCCACAACATAATAAAGGTGCAAGGACGAAAGTTCACTTGTGCCTATTGATATTAGAAGGAAAAATAAGAGATGCGTAGAAATTAAAAAAAAGAATGGGAAATGATTCTAAACATAACTCATTAATATTTTGTCATCTAATGATACACACTTAATGCTCCAGTATTCAAGATGGCCAATCCTCAATTTATTAGAAGAAAAAAAAAGGTTAGAAATAAATAAAGGATGATTAACATGAGAAACATAAGAAAGGAAAACAAAATGAAGAGGTTTAAGTCCCAGAACTCTTAGACAAAGATTATTTATGCTCATTATTACTGAGATCAGTGCTCACTGTTTTATGAATTGGGGTTAACATAAGTATTGAAGAACAAATATATAATATTCATAGAACCGTGATGACACCAAGAAAAATATGTATTAGACACTTACCAACTGAACCAAATGACTGTTTCCTTCGATTTTCATGTCTCTTGGATATGTCATATATTAAACACAAGCAGTATGTAGAGAGCCAAAGACTTCAGTGAAGGAGTTACTTAAAGAGACCTTGTATTGCTGTGTTTGTAGCAGAGGTGCCCAATAAGAGAAAGTGGTTAACGTTTAAAAACAAAACAAAACTGCCCAACTCAAAGAAGTGTAATCTAAGCACTTAAAATATGGATGTGCTGTTGATGTGTATATGTGTGGGGGGGATGTGTATTTGCTATCTAGTGCTCAGACTAAACAAAAGTATGGTTACTTAAGATAGTTTTAGTGCTGTTTAACTTGGAATCTTGGAACTGATAACAAATTGCTTAGCTTTTAACTATACTATCGAAAAGTTTTTCTCATCTGTTTCCCATGCCTAGAACAGTTACCATACTGTAGAATATCGTAAAGTATAGGGCAGGCCTAGTTTAGTGTCACCTAGGCTTATACTTCGTGCTAAAATATAACACAAACTGTATATGAAATATAACACATATATAAAATGTAACGCGGCATTATTACGTGTACGTTGAATTAGCAGCCTTTAAACTATTTAAATTGGCAGCCCTGAAAAAGTTATAAATTTGGAGAATATAACTTTTTGTGCTAACCATGAGGAAAGAAAGAACCTCCATCCCAATTTAAAGAGCTGTTTTCAGTTATTTTATTTCCAAAGAACCATCCTCCATCAAGCAACTTGGTATGAGAAGTGCAGAGTACCAGAGTTTGTCTTTGTCAGGTCTGAATCAGTGAGGATTTAAATTCTGACTTCCCCCTAAAAGGTAGATTCTGTTTAATAAAATACATTAGACATCTTTCAAGCTATGGTCCTACGTGGATTAGTAAGACAGTCTGTTGGAAACGATGAAATTGCAAGAAGATGACCTCATATTGCGAGTTTCAAGGTCTATATAGATCGGTTTTTTTTGTTTTTTTTTTTTTTTGTTTTTTTTTTTTCAACGTTTATTTATTTTTGGGACAGAGAGAGACAGAGCATGAACAGGGGAGGGGCAGAGAGAGGGAGACACAGAATCGGAAACAGGCTCCAGGCTCTGAGCCATCAGCCCAGAGCCCGACGCGGGGCTCGAACTCACGGACCGCGAGATCGTGACCTGGCTGAAGTCGGACGCTTAACCGACTGCGCCACCCAGGCGCCCCTAGATCGTTTTTAAATAGGTTTTTTGTTGATATCACCTTTGTGTACATGTACTAAGTATGTTAGGTATATAACACACATATAATTTGTATATTTACATATACATGATTAAACTAAATTCCACCCCATAATTAAATATTATTGCCTAACATACCTATGCAATAATTAAATAGTTATTAAGATAAAACAACCAGTTCAGTGCAACAATGATTATTCTGTCAAGTTTCTCCATTGAGCATCATGAAACTCTGGAATCAATTTCTCATATATCTGAAGCCTTAAGTGTGATCAATATTCAATGCAACTGATTAGAAGCAAATAACAACAAAACACATGAATGTTTTCAGTGTTGCTGATTTATGTTAACATAGTTGTTCTCATCTTTGGTGCTTTGTCAGATCTTTAAGTATAGCATAAGATCATCCTGCGTCATAACCACATCCACAAACGTAGCCATAGGTTGAAATGGTGTTTTTGTTAATAAACGCCAATCATTCTCATTTTTTTCTTTGTAGACTATTTCAGTTGTTTTGCTCAAAGAGAGGTGGTAGGAACCATAGCTGAAAGGTTTTTGGTGATTTCATGTCACCTGTGAATGAAGTTGTTGGAGAGAGTGAAAGAGAAGAAAAGGAGAGTTTCGTGACCATGTACCTATATGGGTAACTGCCCATCATTGTAGATGAGGACTTCATGTTACTTATTTATAAGTTGGTATTTCCTGAACCATATTTTCCTAAAATCTAAACATCATCTCTCTCTCTCTCCAGTATCTAGAAGCCCTGCTTGTCCATGTTATAGCATTCTCTATGTTTTGTAATATTGTGTATAATTATTGTACCCCCTGGTCTTCAATATGCGTTAAGATTATTTAAAATAAGCAAAACAACAAAAGGCAACAACTCAAGAGCGACTTGCTACCTCTGTCAGTGTTCTTCGCCAGTATAAATGCAATGATTCATGATGCGTTTTACTGGGATTTGAAATTTTACAGGAGTCATCAAGACCGCCCTTCCAAACATGGATAGAGAGGCTAAAGACCAGTATTTGCTTGTTATTCAGGCAAAGGATATGGTTGGTCAAAATGGAGGACTCTCAGGAACTACGTCAGTCACCGTGACCCTAACTGATGTCAACGATAACCCACCTCGCTTTCCTCGAAGTAAGCTGGTTTGTTAAATGTTCCAAGTCCCCTAATTTTCCTTGCCAGTCTATACAAATGTCTCTCAAAGGGAATTTTTCCAAATGCTTTTCAAACAAGTAATTATCTTCTTACAGGGGCGTGGTTTTAATTCAGAAGTGTGGAAATCCTATCTTTGTATTACTTCTTTCTTCGATATATTATGGTTTTTCTTTGGTTCACGTTTTTAATACCGGACAGTTACTAAGTTTGTTTATAGATTCATCTGTTCATTCTAAGATCTTCTTTGCACACATTCTGTAATTATGAGATTGTTGCCAATTAGTAACATTCAAATACATTCTGTACACTGACAGTATTGATTTATTTTTAAAGAGAAACATAGAAGAACATGCAGCATTTTCATTTTTTACTCTACGCTTTTTTTTTTTTACCACTTCATGCACATTAAACATTCCTACAGCAATTCGACCACCTTTTTCTTGTGCAAACGTTCAGTGTTTCAAAAGTCAGTTCAAAGAACCAGAAAACCATATGGCCTCAATTTAGTTTCTATGACCAAAGTGGCTTTTGACTCAGCCAAGGAAAAGGAAAGAAAAAATCTAGGTAGATATGTCTTGATTATATAAAAGCATTTCATCTCAGTCTCTTTTAGTTTTTTTTTCTTTTTTGTGTGTGTGTGTGTGCAGTATTTCTTTACAACGCTCAGGAAAATTAAGGAAATTGTATAGACTACAATATCTCTAAAATGTTTGTTCTATAGAAATGGGAAATTAAGCTCCCTTACAGATCTCAGAAACCAATAAACTCAAACAAGGAAGCTTTCTCTGTAAACATGAAGTTGCTATATTTTCCAGCAAATATTCCATCTGTGGATGTTTCATTTTTATTTTACACATTTTTCATATTTATATTATTGTACAACAGACATTTTAAATTTTTTTAATGTTTGTTTGTTTGTTTATTTATTTATTTTTGAGAGAGAGAGAGAGAGAGAGCATGAGGTGGAGAGGGACAGAGAGAGACACACACAGAATCAGAAGCAGGCTCCAGGCTCCAAGCTGTCAGCACAGAGCCCGACGCAGGGCTCAAACCCACGGACCATGAGATCATGACCTGAGCTGAAGTCGGATGCTCAACCAACTGAGCCACCCAGGCGCCCCTATACAACAGACATTTTAATGCCTCCACACAAAATAAAGTGAAATGACTCGAAATTCAGCATTCATAAAAAATGAACTTACCCTTAATTGTGCCTTTGATACCTTATAATGGGGGAAGAGAGGAAGGTTTTGTAGAATAAACAAAGCAATCATATAATTATATTGGGCTCACAATCAAATTACCTGTCCTTCTTTAAGCCTACAGCGATAAGAATTGATACTTAGAATTTGTGTTATTCCATTTGTCATGATTGGATAAGACACAGTACAGGTTTTCTAGCTTACTCTAGATACTCTCCTGCTCATTAAAGTGAGGGAAGGCAAGGAGGGAAGGCTCAGATTTTCCGGACTGCCTGTAGCTAATATTCTAACCTTGAAATTTCTGGATTTTACTAAGGTCTCTTACGGATGTGTGAAAGAGATCACTTGAAAGTCATCAGCATCTCTTGTCATTATTATTATATTTTTAATCAGTAACTTGTCCCAAAATTTAGAAAATTGCCAACAATAGTAATTCTGAACTGAACACGTGGTCCCTTCATATGGATACATTTTCCTTTTTCAGTTCCTCTTGAAGAGAGTCTTTTCATAAGAAAGTGAAAATGCACCGTGTTTAACAACCAGAAGGGAATGGAATAGGTGGAAAAGGCAGGAAAAAAATAGAAGATCAGGGAAAACTGTTTCTGAGGAGTTTTCTAGTTTCAAAGGGATGTTCATGGTCACGGTCATCTGCTTCCCAAACTTTTTTTTTTTTTTTTTTTTTGACTCTGAGGATGGTGAAGAGGAATTTTTACAAATGAAAGTTTGAAAAGCTTCTCTGTTTTTGCCTCTCTTTCCTTTTGTTTGAATAATAGGGCCTCTGCTCTCGTGCCATTGTGTTCCAAATCACTTCTACATAAACCCACACAGATAATCCTTCCTGATAAATCTATGAGCTAAAACAAGACCAATATTGTCTTTCATCAACTCCCTGGCCCAGTTTTCTGATACTTTCATAGTAACAGACACTGTGATGTAAATTCTAACAATAATTCATCGGTACTATTTAGACCTGTATTTGCCCATTGGAAGCCTAAGCTATGCAATTTTTGTTTTTAATATTTACAGTAATTATATTTTAATTATGTCGATTCACTGGTTATCTAGTAATCTTCTTCATAATTGTTTTAAATATATTTTATTATTAAAAGAAGCGTATTTCCCACCACTAGAAAAACAAGAATCGAGATTCTTCTCACACGTTTCCTCAGACTGTTTCTGCTGTTACATAGTGATTATCTAACCATCACCATGAGATTTCTCTAGTCTCTATGAAACTCGTCATTTATCTGATACTGCCTCAGCATCTTTTTTAGGAACTATGAACAGAAATTAAGCAAGGATGATGCAAAAGAACCAAATAGGTTTTATTGGTTAGCTTTTGTATAAAGCGTGTTCAATTCTTGATTTGAATTTCACAGGGTCTTACCAGTATAATGTCCCAGAATCATTGCCAGTGGCCTCTGTTGTGGCCAGAATCAAAGCAGCTGACGCAGATATAGGAGCTAATGCTGAAATGGAATACAAAATCGTGGATGGTGACGGATTAGGGATTTTCAAGATTTCTGTTGACAAAGATACACAGGAAGGAATCATTACTATACAGAAGGTAATATTTTCTTTATTCTTATTTTCTGGGAGGGTGACACCACGGAGCATACTAAGAACCATGTTTACTTTGATGGAAGAATGTATTAGACAAAATGAATGGCCATATGGAAATATTGTTATGTTATCTTTAGGAAGAAAGCTATGCGTTTACTTTTAGGTGTCCGAATCATAGAGAATCGCGAATGGCATTCGTAATCATGCCCTGCAAGTCTGTTCTCAAAGTAAGAGGATAGACTTACCGTAGTTCTGTGACCGTAATGCCCACTGGCACATTAACTGCAAACTGTCAGCACAAAGCCTGCCACCAGGTTTGAACTCACAAACCATGAGATCATGACCTGAGCTGAAGTCAGAGGCTTAACCAACTGAGCCACCCAGGCACCCCACAAATGTACTGTTTCAAATGTCCTAATGGAGAGGGGAAGATGTTTCTTTCTTGACTATTCCAGGAATGAAACCCTAAAATCAACCACAAGTCTTCGTTAGCAAACTAGACAAACACTCCATCTCTGTGAAAAAAAAGTACAAACTTGGAAATAGCAACCAAAGTGTTGAAGACTTGCTACATTATCAGTTATTCCTTTTTAAAGTTTATGCTAATTGAAGTACTTAAAGAATTCATACAAACAGAGCATGAAAAGTTGTGAAGCCTATCATAATCCCTTAAGTATAAGTGCAGAGGAGATAGAAAATTATTATAATCCTAACTAAAGACTGTCATAGTATATTTAAATTAGCTCCCAACGCTGATTAGATATGGGAGAAAATGAGCTGTTTACTCCCTTTGCTCTGTATAGACACGATCTTTGACAACTGTTAAATTAAAAAAAAAAAAGGGAAAAAGGAATTATTACAGAATATAGTCTTATTGTCTCAACTAAGTACTGAAAATTAAAACGTGAAAATCCCACCCCCCAAATAATGGAATTTTATGCCAGTCTGACAATCCAGGTGTATAACTCTGTAATTAACACTCCTGGATAATTAACACATGTCAATAAAGAAAGTTATATTTTAGTTGTTACCGGAAAACATATGTTTGATTTTAGGCCAATGGGCAAAACATTTCTGCAATTATTTCCAGTGGACAGCTGCTGTTTTAGCTCAGCTGGTGACAATCTGTGTAAAAAAGTTTTAATAACTAGGACAGGCCAACTGTTGGCAAAATGTTTTGTTGTCTAAAATAAAAGAAATGCAGTAAAGTACAGTGCTGCTCAGAGATTTCAAAGATTCAGCTGAAATATTCATCTGAAATCAGTCTGTTCATACTGAAAAATTTTTAATATATATTGAAATTATTTTTGTTGAACACGTGCATTTCATATATTATAAATAGAGCATAAATCATTGAAAAACATATGCACAAATATATATTTGATATTTGTTGCAGTAATAAAATTATGTCCAATTTCTTAATATTTTTTGAAGTTTTAGAGAATTGTTAATTCTGGTCACAGTCAAATAGGATACTTTTTTTGTTTTCTTTTTTAAATTTAAAGCTCTGAAGTCATTTCTAACTTCTCTTCTTTCTCCTTTTTGAGCCATATTAGCTCTTGGCTGTAGGTTTATTTGTATTTTTCTATTGTCTTTAGCACTATCCTAAGGTTGGTTATCATTACTCACTCCAAAACTATTTTAAAAGCTCCCGAGCTCACAACCTGTTTCTAGCTTCTCAAATCCATCTTTTGTTTAAATTGCTGTTCAAGATTCAAAACCACTTTATTAGTCCAACTAGATTGAAAACAATCTCCCTTATACTAAGGAAATAGGAGAGAGTGATACGACAAAGTGATAGGAGGCAGTAAAATAATCATTAAAGAGGTTATATATTTAGAAATTCCAAAGAATTCATTGAAGGATTTTTAGAATTAACAAGAGCTTTCAATATAAGAGCTACAGTAGTCAATTTCAGTGAAATTGGGGTCTGTATTTCATTCCAGGTAAAATGCTTCCAGAAGTTCCTCACAGGGAGTACAGTGAGCAAAAACCTGTATGAGTCCCATAAATTCAGTATTCTTTCTGTACTAGAGAGTAGTGAAATCATCTGTGAAATCCAGAATGGATTTTTGAAACTGAGTCACGAGAGCATTCTTACTAAAACCGGGAGATTCTGAAAGAAGACAAAGGAAGCATTCTTCCGTTGTTCTTAGACTATTTTAAAATTTTCATTTAGGGGCGCCTGGGTGGCGCAGTCGGTTAAGCGTCCGACTTCAGCCAGGTCACGATCTCGCGGTCCGGGAGTTCGAGCCCCGCGTCGGGCTCTGGGCTGAATGCTCAGAGCCTGGAGCCTGTTTCCGATTCTGTGTCTCCCTCTCTCTCTGCCCCTTCCCCGTTCATGCTCTGTCTCTCTCTGTCCCCAAAAATAAATAAAAAACGTTGAAAACAAAATTAAAAAAAAAATAAAATTTTCATTTAGAAAAACAATAGAATGCTATGGGGAATCCATAAAAATGACTCTTTTTGCGATAGGTTTTTTAGTCTCTCCTAACTATAGGAAAACATCTACAACCAGGTGCTGCTAGGATTTGATGTATGTATTTATTCTGATGATTGTGAACACCTCTAAAGATTATTTCACATTTGGACAACCGAGTCCCATTGTCTCCATTCAGATAGTCATTTCTCTTGGAATTAGGTTATTTTGTACCTGTGAACCGTGCTTCATAATCACCTGAACTTGTTTTCTCTCGACTCTGTAGTATAATAAAACTTCAGTTATTTGTTTTTTCATAAACAATGCAGTGTCATGATTATAATGGGATTTATTCCAGTTTGAGAAGATTGTTGTCATATTTTGAGACATTTACATATGTTACACTTTGCACAGAGTGAACTTAAGAGCAGAGAGTGAAGAATAGGAAAACTGTCTTTTTAAAGAAGATACATTAGTAAAAGAGAAATATGTACAGAACTGTGGAAGATTACTTTAAGTTATGCTATTATTGCCCCCATGTCTTGTATAAAAAATGTTTATAAATAGGACCAAATAGGCAGAATCCACAAGGCTAAAGGTTTTTGTAGGTATTGCCACAGAATTAGTTTTCCGCAACTTAAATATTCCCTCTATACATTAGGAATAAACACGATTACATAGTTTAAGTGTTGTTTAAAAATTATGACAAAAATACAGTGATTCACAGTTAAAGTGCTGTACAAGCTGGTTCTTTGACCATTTATGAATGATTTAATGATAACCTTGGCGAGCAGTTCTACAGGGCTTCAAAATTCACAAAGTGTCAACATAAATATTCCTCCATGTGAGTGAACACTGGTTTTTTTCCCCCACTTAGAAGTTCTTCTGCTTGCAGTCTCATATCCTAATTTACAGGGGGTGTCCTTTAGCTTTCTACTTTTCCTTTGAGATATGTCAGTCCTGTCTCTCAAGTACTTCAGTTTGCAATGCAAGACCTCAGCAGGGGTTAACGACGCAGTTTTGCTTTTCTAATATTCATTACCATAGAGTCACAGTGCAGTAGAAAAGGATGTGTGTTCAAGACGCATTTCCTGTGAAGGACAAGTACACATTCCTCTCTGGCCAACAGATGGTGTTGGGTGGGTCACATGGTCACTGTCAAACAGCATATTTAAGCTGCTTCTGGCCGATTCTGTGCTATCTTCATAATCTCCTTATATTCATACCTTAAGAAATTCAGAATGACGCCAAAGCCACGAAATAATAAAGCATTACCTTAGAAGGATCCGTAAGGTGGCCCGCACCCATCCACCGCTGGGGAGAAAGAGTTCAAATACGCAGTTTCCTTCCAACCTTCAACTCGGCCGCAAGGATTTCTGAGCTCCCGGGTTTACCATCTTGTTATTGAAACGTGTCCTTTGTCGACTACTTGAAGTGCTGAGGGGCTAATCCCCAGAGTCAAGTTTGTATTTCAGCATTTCATACAAGGCTGTTTGTTGATGTATAGTGGAGGAAACTGACAACATTCACAATTCTTCTTTTTTCTTATCATTACATTTTTCTTTCAAGGATCCAATTCAATTAATCCCGCTGTGGAGGCACGTTCCTCAAAACGGAACAAAGATGTTTCCCTTATTTGACCGTGAAAGGCACAAATTTGGAATTAAAGGCTGACTGTCATAAGGTTAATACAGTAACTCTAGTTGACTTCTGAATTTCAGGTTATATTTTCCAATTAATTCAACCCATCGTTACTGTATATAAGTAGATCCTTCTGTCATTTTAATCATTATGCTCATGTGTGCATATGTATAGACTCTCTGCATATCAACGTATAAACTTACCTGTGTGTGAATAGCCAAGAGTAGAGATGAATTTAAGGTCTTAAAAAGGAAGAAATTGACAGTCTCTGAAGGAAGTTGATAGTAATGTACATGTCAACGCATGATAGTCTTGATCAAAGAGGCAAAGGCCATGTTCGCTTGGGAGTATTTTCTGTTTGCTTTGATTTTTGATAGTTATCAGAGCAATGTTCTTGGAATATATGTATGTCAAAGACATTTTTCAGTGAGTCCATCACTATTTTTTTTTTTTTTTGCTTAGTATAAACAAGTCACAGATAATGTACAAACTTTTCCTTTACTTCTGTCTCTTTTTCCACGGTGTGTTGTATCCTAAATTAGCTTCAGTGGGTAGGCTTCCAAGAAAGAGATATTTAAGAAAGAGATAAGAAAGGATTTAGTGATTGTGTAAGAAAATTGGAGAGAGAATTTAAGGAGAAAACTAATGTTTCTAGCATGAGTAACTGGGTAAGTGTGTCCTTGAATAGGGGTGTGCAAATGATTAATATGGTTTGGAATACACATGAAGCGCCTATGATATCTGGATAATAATGTCTAGGAGGTCATGAATAAGGATATGCAGCTTAAGGCAGAGGCCTGGAGTACAAACTTAGGTCTGGGAGGCATTACCATATGCATGACAATTATAATTAAAGGGACACTGGAGAATTCCCTAAAGCATGTATGGAAAGTAAGGGAAAGAGGTGCCTGGCTGATCTCAGGGTTGTGAGTTCAAGTCCCACA